CATTGACTGTTCGATCAGTTATCTGAGTAATGCATGTTTATCCATATATAAGCTTTGTAAAAGTTGAAAAACACAACCTACCAAATATATACTGTAGGTGTACTACTACCAGAGAAACAGTGACATCAAGTGGTACGTATGTAAATTTTATTTATGAGCAGGCAGTACACAGATTGGTGTCATGTGCACTGCTCAATTGAAAATGTGTGACTCCTGTCTGTCAAGATGAGCGGAAAAATGTTCGCAGGCCATTCCTCGAGGATTAGGAATGAAAATGGAGCTTTGTGTGCAGCCAGTCACAGCTCTAAAACAAAACCAGGGGAAATTAAGCTCGCCACTGGCCTGCTGTCACAGATTTGTTCAGTTTTACTCCTGTTAGTGCCTTCAGGCTCAACTTAATAGTCTCCATGTTTCCAAGTACTCCTTTGTATCCTGGCTTTGTTGTAAGTTTGCCTGTAATGCAATGACACTGCAGATGTTTTTTTTCCTCTATCTTTTTGAAAACAGAATATCTTTTCTCATGTCTAGATGCAGAGGGGAGGCAGCGTGGCTCTATGTCGCCATAAAATAAAGGCTTTCTGCTACATGATGATGCTTAACGTCTTCATCTGTGTCGTGATAAGCGTGTCATGGAACCTTGGACACAAGACAAGTGGCCATCACAAAGTTCACATCCCATCCAAGAGGTTTTGGAGTAAACACATACTGAATGAAACCTTCTGGAACAAGGAGCAGCAACGCTTGGACTTCATTTACAACCCCAACTTTAACTCTGTGTTCTCCAGCACGTCACGCAACACACTGCCAGATTGGCTCAATGACACTGGACCTCTGGACCCGTGTGAACCGGACTACAGAGTGCCCAGGCGTATCTTTGACTACAACTCCCTACCAAAGCAATTCCAGGACTTTCTTTTGTACATGCGTTGTAGGACATACCCTATGTTAATAAATCAGCCCCATGTTTGTAGTGAAAAACCTTTCCTACTGCTGGTTGTCAAGTCTTTGATCTCTCATTTTGAAAGGCGGCAGACCATTCGTGAAACTTGGGGACAAGCAGGAGTCTTAGCCAACCAGACTGTGGTAACAGTGTTCCTGCTAGGCAACGTCTTGTCGTCAGACCACTTCCCAGACTTGCAGGAGTTACTGAGTCATGAGGCAAAGCTTCACAAAGACATACTTCAATGGGACTACAGAGACAGCTTCTTAAACCTAACTCTGAAAGAGGTCCTCTTTCTGGAGTGGTTTACCAAACACTGTCCTCAAGCTCGGTTTGTTCTTAAGGGCGACGACGACGTCTTTGTGAACACCTTAAGAATTGTTAACTATCTGGAAGGCCTGCCAGAGGGTGAGTCCAAGGATTTGTTCATAGGCGATGTTATAATAAATGCTGGGCCACACAGAGACAAGAAACTTAAATACTTTATCCCAGAGAGTGTGTTTGTGGGTAACTATCCTCCCTATGCTGGCGGGGGAGGATATCTGTACTCTGGGGAGTTGGCGATACGCCTACACAATGTATCTCAGCAAGTAGTGCTGTTTCCCATTGATGATGTATATACTGGGATGTGTCTCAAGAAGCTGGGTCTTGTTCCTGAGAACCACAATGGCTTCAAGACATTTGACATTGAAAAGAAGTATAAAGACAATCCTTGTATCCACAGGAACTTGATGCTGGTTCACAGCCGAACTCCACAGGAGATGTTAACGATTTGGCCCTTCATTGTCCAACCCGAGCTGGACTGCCAGTGAAAGCTTTATTAATGGCTGTTTGCAATACTGAGTTCGTCAGTCATTTTCAATCCTTCCATTCTATATTTTTCAAATCAAAGTTCAACAGGGTTGCTACTTTTTATTTACAGGATATGTGTTGCATTTTACTGTTTACTTTTATATGGAGCATTTTTTTTCTGAATCTGTAGTATTCTCTGTCAGTCATGTTGAAAGAGACATTTGATTCTCATCTGATGCATTTTTACAATTTGAGGCATTCAGTATGTTTAAAAACACAATAAACGCTTTGAGAACTAACATGAAGTAAAAATGAACATCCTGAAAATGAATGATGTTAGTACATTTTCCTGATTTAAAAAAATGCATAACTATATGTTGATTTATATACAGTACTGATATCAGCACCTGCCTACTAGGTTCAAAAGTGAATTGCATTAGTAATAATATATAAAATCATTACTGTTCATTTAATGACATGTATGTCTGTTCCATTCACAGATGACTCTTTGTGAAGCTTTGCCCCCAACATTTTTTTAATCATTAAAAAAATTACAGTGTCTCTGAATTTTGTATGCTTCCTCAAGATGCAGCAAATTTATACAAAATAATGTATTTTATGTCAACAGTATAAAGGGCATACATTAACCTCACTCGACTAAAGTTAAAACAGATGTAATCTAAAAAAAGTCCAAAGATATTAAAGATATTAAATTAGCTTCACAAGCAAGTTCAACATAGTGAGGCTTTCTTTGCATTAGCTGTCTTGACAGATCCTGAAATCCGTGGCTATCACGGTATCAGATTTCTTTGGTAGCTCAGGCTTTCTGCTTCAGGCTCTGGGCACATACATGAAAGGAGCCATTTGATGTGTCATTTGACTCTTCTTCCACAAAAAATGTATCAGATGAGAATGGTAAATGGACTGGTTCTTATATAGCGCTTTTCTACTCATCTGAGCACTCAAAGCGCTTTACACAACTTGTGCATTCACCCATATCTTTCTAAGTGCTTCATAGCTAACATTCACACATTTATACTCCGATGGATGCATCGGAGGGCAATTTGGGGTTAGTATCTTGCCCAAGGATATTTGGCATGTAGACTGGGGGAAGCCAGGAATCGAACCACCAACCTTCCAATCATGGATGACCTGCTCTACCGCCTGAGCTACAGCCAGAATTAAATGTATCGTTCAACATGAGTGACAGAGATCACTAAAGATTCAGAAAAAAATGCTGCATATAATATAAACAGTAAAATGCAACACATATGCTGTAAATAAAATACAAGAGTAATGTGCTGTTTTGTCGCTGATCCAGGTAACTTGTTTTAGCTTGAGTTATATTTATTTTACCGCTCTGTGTGCTCTTGGTGTTGCTCTTTATTTCTAACACAACTTCTAACAGCTTTGTATTTGAACTCTGAAACTTTGATACATTTAATCAGTAAATGTTACTCAGTGTGTTCAGGTCTGATACTCTTCTGTAGCTTAATAAAGAAGACATTTGGTTTGTAGTCAGATGAAAGTGAAATAAATGTTATTGATTGGAAATTATTGACCATAAATCATCTACAAATGCAACATTTCAATTTTCTTATCTATGTTTTATTAGCTGCATTAAAACAATGTTAAAGAGACTTGGCAAACAGGCAAACTTGGCAATTGAATACATGCATTACACATGACACACCGTTTGCACTGCTGTAATTTCACAACTGGGCTTCATTTAGTGATGTGAGTAAAGTGAGGTTAAACAGTTTGCATATACAGATACCTTCAGCAGAGAATCTATAAAAGACAAAAAACATTCTTTAAATAAAAGTATTATTGATCATGTGATGCTTCCTGCCAAATTTAAACTGAAATTCAGAACTTAACCTGGAACCTGGTGTTAGTTATGTGGTAAGTATATGTTACCATGGTGATTTATGCAGGCAAAAAGAAAGCCACCTTCATAACAAAGAACACTCTTACTATAAGCTCAACCTAGCTCACTACTTTGTTAATATTTGTTGTTTAATGGATGTGTTTGCTGGTAAACAGTCCAGCTGTTATTTCTGTTTTTATCCCACTTTTATTTGGTCAAATCCAAATCTTCACCACTTGCAAATAAAATGAACAAAAGCAGGTAACTCAATAAGGTAATAGAGCTTGAGCATCAAACTGTGGCTGAACGTTTGCACAATGTATATAAAATTTAGAGCTACATTATTAGATTTGCAGATGGCGCTACATTTAGTAGATGAAATAATAGATCAGACATTGTCTGAATATCACTGCTATTACTCCAATATAACAGCCGTGCCACAAAAAAAAGAAACAAAAAACATGATTATCATGTGCATGTTTGCTTTTACATTTTCTTCTTAATACGCATCTTCACTTTTCACACATCTGAAGGCTCTTATAATTCAAAGCATCATAAAAACATGGATAGAAACACCAGGAAAAATATAAGCAGGAGTCTTATTTTTAATATCACTGCATTTTAAATGCATTGCTCCTCAGCCTTAACTGACGTGACTAAGTTAAAGAAATGAAATAAAAGTTAAAGTGATCCGACACTGGGTTTTGCTGTGAATTCGGGTTTATCTGACAGAAACATGACACATATTTTCACAGACTTCCATAATTCAATTTATGAAATTCTATTTTAACTGTTTTTCTTGCTTATTTGTCTGTGTGTATTTGAATAAGCAGTAAAGTGAGTTTGGCTCATATGTAACAATTTTCCATGGTTGACTGAATAAGGATTAAGTTTTGTTGACATTGTTTTAGCCATTACCCCCACCCATCTGCTCCTCACTCTCAATAAATGAAAACTGTCTCTTGTTATTGTGTGTTGTTGTGGTAAATTTTAAACTAATCTGTATTTGAATGTCCGACAATAAAGTGTTCTAATCTCATAAATTATAACATGTGATTTTTGGTATTATTTTTTTGACTGGAAAAAATTAAAATAAATAGTTTATGAAACTCAAACACAGCAAACATCTGTAGCAGATAAAACCTAAACCCCTAAATAAAATAGGTGCAGTGTCTTCAGCTTTGTCTTTGAAGCAGAAAGCACCAGCCCAATAATAAATATTACAGTGCCCTCTGCTGGATAAAATGGATATTACTAGCCAGTAAAAGGAAACTTAATCAACTAACTGATGCAATTCACCTGCAGAGACAGGAAAGGAAATAGCCGTTGAACTGAATCTGAGAGGATCAGATTGACTTTGTTGCTTCCCAAATTTCAGTAATTTAACTGCATACGAAAATGAAACGAACAGCCGTCATAAACATCAAGTGTGTGCTGCTCATATTTTTGTTGACATTTGACTGTAATGCACAGGTGAGTTATTGTGCTTCACTGATAACCTCTTTCGGATTTGTGTTAACAGTTTAATTGTGTATTTCTTTCTGTCTTTAGGTGAATGAAGAAGATACTGAGCAGCCTCCAGGTGAGTCTGCAAATGTTTAACTTGGGATTTTCTATGTTTCTATGTTATTTTGTAAGTCTAAACGTTTCAGCCTATGCTAACAAACTGATTTTAGTTTCATAAAACCTGATCACCAACACACATGCAAACTTTCTTATGAAATCTGACCATTATATTTGAGCTAATTGGATTCTAAATAAACTGTACCTCATTTTGGTAGTTTGACATCGCCCATATGGATTAATGGGAGAGCCTTTCCTTATACAGGTTAATATTTGATTGTTTTTATTCAGTGTGAAAGTGAATGATGTTGGTATATTTTCCTGATTTTAAAATATGCATAACTATATGTTGATTATATACAGTACTGAAATCAGCACCTGCCAACTAGGTTGAAAAGTGAATTGCATTAGTAATAATATATAAAACCATTTCGGTTCATTTAATGACATGTCTGTCTGTTCCGTTCACAGAAGACTCTGGAGCTGAAAACACTTTCTTTGCTTTGCGGAGTTGTCACCGGTTGCTGTACAGTGACAGTGGTGAGTTTTTCTCGCCGGACTACCTATGCTCCAATCCTCCCCTGTGGTGCAACTGGACAATCCAGGTGGATCCGAGTAAAAGGATTCATCTCTACCTGGAGGATTTGACCCCTGATGACATCTGTAACCTCAAACAGGACCAAATCCACATTGACGAGCCAGTTGGAGATTTAGCGGGACACAAAGTCTTACAGAAGTGCTGGCAAGAGGCCAAGTACACCTCCTCCTCCAATATTCTGTATGTAGTGCTACTGATTAGTGGCTGGCCCAACCCCCTGTACAGGGGCTTTTATGGTCGCTACCAGGCATTTGGATCGCCAGTCATTTATAACCCAGGGGAAGGCTTTACAGAGACAAGCAATGAGTCAGAGACATCTCCTGGGCTGATGGACTTCAGTGAATCTGGACCAGGTACAAAGAGGGATGGTTATGATGAGGAACAATTAGCAAGGATGACTGAGCTACCCACGGAGCCCAAGATGCCTGCAGACACAAACACTTGGGTGAGTGGACACAGTGTTAGTCTTAGACGCCTTACACTGCCTGGCAATATTTCTAACACTGGCAAAAGCTGCATATTCACTATTAAATTTAAGAATGGGTAAAAAGTGTCAATGTTAACGCATCATCACGATTAACGCAATTAAAAGTTTTAACCCATAGGGAGCACAGACTGGACAAACTGCCCGAAATGCGTTGACAGAGACATTTCAGAAGTTTTGAGTCATTCTGAGCTCCAGATGGGTTAATTGCCTTAAAAATTGTAATCTTGTAAATTGTGATGATGGATTAATTGGCGTCAACGTTGACAGCCCTAGTAAAATTACTGTTTAATGATAAAGATTTCACTCACTGATTTAAAACATGTAGAAAAAAGTTTAGCAACTTCTTCCAGTTGATCTTTCAGTTCCTCTGCAGTGTAAATCATTTAGGCTTTTTTCTGCACTTTGTTTTGATTTTCTCTTTAATAAATTAACTTTCTAAAATATTTTTCTTTTAAATGTCACATTTTATGTCATATTTCATACATTAAGTGAGGTCACACGATTACTGTGTGAGTTAGCATTAAAAAAAAATCAAGGCTACATAGTTTTCTTTTATTTTCCCATCATTCATATAATCTATGTAGCTCAAGTAACAGTGACATAGCTGTTTGGTTAATTGTAATGTGACAACTGAATTTAATACAATACTGAATTACACATAAATGTAATAATTTCAATAAGATCCAACATGCATAACTTAATCACCAAATTGCCATACTGGATACTGCTCAGGAACTTAAAACATTAATGGTAATGACCCTATATGTCAAAAGGAAACCCAGAGAAGTATAAACATGTTAAAGACCAGGTAATCTTGCAAAAATCTGCAGTACTTGTTTTGTTTTTTATTTTGCTTGTAAATTCCAGAAAACATTGTAAAACTCTTCGTCGTCGTCTGTCCTTCTTCAGGTGGATAAAAACAACCCTCTGTCCTTGGCTGGGAACTACACGACCATGCCAACTGCATCAGTGTCCACCCAAAGGACCTTCAGATCAGGGAGAGGTATCACTCGCACCCAACTGGAAGTCACCACTGACACTACAACAGCAAAACAAATGAATGAGGAGGAATCTACTGTTGCAGAGGATGAGACACCAACTCTGAGCTGGACAGTGAAGGAGAACATAACAGAGGTCAGTCAGACCTCAGTCCAGCTTTCCCCGTCCTCTGACAGACAAGAAATACAGCACACTGATCAGACTCATCCTCAGCCTAACATGGTGGAGCCGCTGTCGGACCACAGAGGGAACTGTGAGTACATTTGAACACAGACACTCTCCTGGATCTTTCAGGTACTCGTCTTTTTTGGATTGACTAACTGTAAGTATATCGCTTGATATAGATATGTTTAGTTCTTTGAAATGAGATCATGATCAACCAAATTTTCAATGAACATTTTCAGGTTGAACAGCTATTAAAATTTGAACTTGCTCTTTGATTTTCTAAAAGAGCTATACATGATACATACGTGAGTAAAAATAAGTTCCACATGTTAAATGTTTTTCTGTTATAACCTTTTAATTAAGGCCCCTTTAACCCGAACACAAGAATACACTGTATCCAGAAAGTATTGCCAGTGCTTCACTTGTTCAACATTTTGTGATGTTATAGCCAAAATGGGATTGATTCATTTTCACCTCAAAATTCTACACAAAACAATACAATGACAAAGTGAAAAACTTGAAGTTCTTACACTTTAATAAAAAAAAAGAAAAACAAAAATAGAACATGTAGATAAATATTTATAGCCTTTGTAATGACACTCAGAGGTGAGCTCAGGTGCATCCAGTTTCCAATTATCATCTGTCAGACGATTCAACAACCTTATTGGAGTTCACCCGTGGTAAATTTAGTTGATTGTACTTAATCTGAAAAGAAAGTATATAGTTGATTTTATGATACTTTCATGATTTTTCCCTCTTATTTCTAAATTTTATTTTGCCATGTTTTATTATACTGTATTGCTGTTATTGTTTGTGCTATTGTAAGGTGACCTCGAGGGTCTTAAAGGCGCCTATAAATAACATTTATTATTATTATTACAGTGCATGTGAAAGAATATGTCAAAATGTGGGATAAGTGATGCACTCTAGATACTTTTAGATGTACTATAAAGAAATGGGTTTTTTTGCCAAACAAAAGCACACAAATAATCTATATGGTCGAGTGGTGTTGAATTATGTTAAGTGTAGATAAGCACTGGATTACACAACTGGTTCATTCGTGGGAAGTCGGAGAGGGGTTTGGTTTTGTGTTTTTATTGTGTCGTTTTTGTTTTTGTTTTTTGTCCCTTATAGCAAACATGAAAAATGACTCAGAAATTCAACATTTTCCTGGTGGTGAGTATCGAACAAGAATGTCTTATTTATTTATTTTCTGAAGTGTGGGTTCTCTTTTTATCTGGCTAAAGATAGACCACCCGCAGGCGGTCTATCTTTAGCCAGATAAAAAAAAATGTTTTATAGATAGATTTACTCATTTAAAAAAATGAGTAAAATGCATTTTTTACTCATTTTTTTGAAGGATAGACCGCCTGCGGGTGGTCTATCCTTCAAGCTAGGGTCCTCTACCAGAGGCCTGCGAGCTTGAGGGTCCTGTGCAGTATCTTTGCTATTTATATGACTGCGCTGTTCTGAAAAGAGTTCTCAGATGTTATTCCTCGGATCTGCTGGAGCGAATCACTTAGCTTGGGAGTCACTGCACCAAGTGCACCGATTACCACTGGGACCACTGTTACCTTCATCCTCCAGATCTTCTCGACCTCTTCTTTGAGCCCTTGGTACCTTTCATGTTCCTTCTTCCTGATGTTGCTGTCATTTGGTATCACTACATCTATAACTACGGTCATCTTCCTCTGCTTGTCCACCACAACTATGCCCAGTTCGTCAGCCATCACCAGCTTTTTTATATATCTGGAAGTCCCACAGGATCTTGGCTCACTCATTCTTGACCACCCTAGGGGCTTCTCCTATTTTGATCTTGGGACTTTCAGGCTGGCACAGATGTTCCTGCTATGCTGGCCACTTGGTTGTGGCGCACCCTGCTGTTATGTATTGGGGCATCTTTGCTTTGGCTGCATCTGGGATCTTGCCCAGTGTGGTAGACTCCCACCTCTCTTGTACTTAGGGCTTGTTCCTGTGCTGCCCTGATTAGAGCCTGTGTGCTGTCTTTCACTCCAGCTTTGTCCTGCTTCTGGTAGGATTTCTGGATATCAGCCACTTCCTCTGTCTATACCATACAGGGGCCCATCCTTCCATGATGCTTCTTCTCCTTGCTCCTCTTCTTTCGTTCTGCTGCCTGAGGTATTCACTAAGTACACAATTGGTTGTGGCCATTGGTTGTGCTCATGGATGTTTGTCTCAGCTTGGATGGTGGTTCTGGAATTCACCAGTCCTTAGCCTCCTTACTTTGACTTGTTGTACAGCCTCTGTGTGTGTCCACATATATAAACTACCACTCCAACGTTTGGACACACCTTCTCATTTAATGTTTTTTCTTTATTTTCATGACTATTTACATTGTACATTCTCACTGAAGGCATCGAAATTATGAATGAACACACATGTAATTTTGTAGTAGATAAAAGTATGAAATGACTCATAACATGCTTTATACTTTAGAGTCTTCAAAATAGCCAACCTTTGCTTTGATTACTGCTTTGCACACTCTTGGCTTTCTCTCGATGAGCTTCATGAGGTTGTCACCTGAGCTGGTTTTCCAACAGTCTTGAAGGAGTTCCCAGAGATGCTGAACACTTGTTGGCCCTTTTGCTTTCACTCTGCGCTCAATCTCATCCCAAACCATCTTGACTGGGTTTTAGGTCAGGTGACAGTGGCGCAGCACTCCATGACTGTCCTTCTTGGTCAAATAGCCCTTACACATCCTGGAGGTGTGTTTGGGGTCATTGTCCTGTTGAAAAATACATGGTGGTCCAACTAAATGCAAACCAGATGAGATGGCCGGATGCTGTGGTAACCATGCTGGTTCTGTGTGCCTTTTTAATTTTGAATAAATGCCCAACAATGTCCACTACTTGTGTTTGTTGGCACAAACAAATCTCTTCTGCTTGTTGGTTTTCCTTAGTTGTGGTTTCTTCGCAGCTATTTGACCATAAAGGCCTGATTCACGCAGTCTCCTCTGAACAGTTGATGTAGAGATGTGTCTGCTACTGGAACTCTGTGTGGCATTTATTTGGGCTTAATCTGAGTCGCTGTTAACTTCAGATTTCTGAGGTTGGTGACTAGGATGAATATATCCTCAGCAACAGAGTTGACTCTTGGTCTTTCTTTCCTGGGGCATCCTCATCCAGTTTTATCATAGTGCTTGATGGTTTTTGAGACTGCACTTGGCAACACAGTCAAAGTTTTAGCAATTTTCCAGACTGACTGACCTTCAGTTCTTACAGTCATGTTGGACTGTCATTTCTCTTTATTTAGCTGATTGGTTCTTGGCATGATATAATTTCTAATAGTTGTCAAATAGGGCTGTCAGCTTTGTACCAACCTGACTTCTGCAGAACACAACTGATCGTCCCAACTCCATTAAGAAGGTATGAAATGCCACAAATGAACCCTGACAGGTGACTACATCCTGAAGGTCATTGAGAGAAGGCCAAGGGATTGCAGTGCTGTCAAGAAAGCAAAGGGTGGCTACTTTCAGGAATCTAAAATATAAAGTATATTTAGAGTTTTTTTTCTTTGCTACATACATCTTGCTTCATATATTTGATGTCTACAGTGTAGAAAGTAGTAAAATTAAAGAAAAAAACATTTAATGAGAAGGTGTGTACAAACTTTGTGTATGCCTGTATGTCTAATCTGGAGATCAACTTTAATTTATTTTATCTGAGCTACCAGTGAAACTGTTATTATAATGACTTTGTTCTGGTCTTCTGAAACCTCTCTGACAGATCACCTGTTTGAAGTGGCTATAGAGATCAACTTCAGTCAGGATTTGCTGAAGTCTTGGGACAACCTGGCCAGATCACTGCTGCTTTCAGTAAAAGCTTTGGTGCGTGTGTGTGTTCGTGCGTGTCATATGTAGCACGTGCATGTTTTTTTGTTTTTTGTAATAAATATTAAAGACAAAGCTTCACTGACGCATTAAGAAATGGTGAAGGCCCAGACTAAACTTTGTACATGGCTTTTGTTTCTGTAGATCAGCAAACAGCTGGAGGCTCTGCATGCACAACTGTCAGTCTCTTCCAAAAGAATAAAAAGGTTTGTAGAAAACATCCTCACAAGTCTTTCCATTAATGCTGAAGTATAAGTTTGTCTTTGAATACATTTAAAAACATTTGAATGAGACTGTCTTTTCTGAGTGAACCTATGCAGAAAATAACTGCAACTCCACACTGAATACTCCACACGTAAATAGCGTTGGTCTAATCTTGCAAAACCGACCACGACTGGATGAAAGTTTAGATGGGATCAGATGTAAAATGTAATTTGAACACTTGAGATATTTCTTCTGCTTCACTACAGTTTTGCCACTTTGTTTTGTGTCAATTGTTTTACAATTTTTATGCTTTTGTGCTGTGTTGTGTTGATTTTGAAGTTGCTGAATTTGGGTTTCTGTTTAGGGTTTTACTTTTATTGTAGTGTTTGAAGTTTTAAATTGTATTATTTAAGTCCCTGTTTAGTTTCTTTGGAGGGTACCTGTTTAGATTGCCTCATTGTTCTAGTGTTAGTTTAGAAATTCTGGTTTGTATTAAACCTTGGCTCCAATTTTGATATTCTTATTTCTTATGTGTTTAACTTGATCAGTTTCCTTATTTTGGTCCTCCTCTGTCTGGTCTTTCTGTTTATGCTTTTGTCCCCTAGTTTTCGATTCCGTTTTCTTTAGTGCTCTGTGTAAGTTTTAGTTCCTGTCTCTGTCTTCCCATGATTGTTCTTATCTGTGTTAATTATGTTCAGTGTCTGCTATCGCCGTTTCATTGTCTGATACCCATTTTCATTTGCTTCACATTTTGGACATTTTGACTGTCACTCTGGGACTCCATGTCCAACTTGGGGGGGGAAAGGGTGCCTTTTACTTTGTATCCAGCATATAGGACCAGACCTTTTCCCCACCTCTCTCATTCTTTTTCCTCTTTTGCTACGATACTAAAAACAAATCCTGGAAACTCCACTTGAGAACTGTGGACTGGTGTATTTATTACATTAAACCTCACTCTGCAGCGCCTGAACTTATGTCATTGTGTAGTCTGACTGTGTTAGACTACACAATGAAGCGGGATCTATGGACCATAAAGCTGCTTTACTGTTAAGGTATATGTTACGGTACATAATTACAGGTTTTGTGCACAGGTTGCATGCAGGCGTGCTGTACATCCTCTGGCTGCAAGTTAGACAGGGACCTAGAGGCATGCATGTCCACAGGGGCGTCCACTCCGCTCTCCAGGGGCTCATTGCCACTGGTATCAACTTCCAAGGGAATCTGAGAAAGGCAATCATCATGTCTGTGTCGACTGCAGGTATGGAAGTGTCCAAAATTGCTTGGTAATGTTAACAAATCTGTAAATAGGAAGGAGTCAAAAACAGTGATTACTGATAAATATATTTGATTACACTACATAGTTTTTAGTTTTTTGCATATAATACTAAACACATTATCAGCTAAAAGTTCTGTGCATGTCTGTTTCAGATGTTAATGAGTGTGGGACCCAGCTTGTTCAATGTGACATCAATGCAGACTGTGTGAACCAGTTTGGCTCCTACTCATGCCATTGCCGGGCAGGCTTTCAGGATAACTCCCGCCTGGGATCAGGAGGAACCATCTGTGTGGACATGAAGGCTGCAGGTATGCTTGACCCATATCAGAAATCTTAGTTAGACTTGCAGATATTCTGCTTTAATTCAGCTGCTGATCTCCTGTTTTGTTTGGGGGGGTTTCGTTTTCCCTTCAGGTTGCAGCTCACGCCTGTCCACTGAAGCTAAAGGTGTATACGTCCTTTTCTTCCTGCTCAGCTCACTAATTCTTGCGCTGCTGGTGGTTGCCGGCATGTTCTACCATCGTCACCACCGGGGAAAATTCCTAGTTCGCTGCCACAGCAACAGCAGCTTATCCCCTTCTGACCCCAACAACAACCACCAGCATCCTGAGGAAAACTACTCCAATCCCGCTGACTCTGACCCGCCTCCCCCATCTCCACCTGCCTGGGGTCCCAGAGAGTGCTGGGGCCATGTAAAGGAGCAACGGCAAGTTGTGGATCTGCAGCTGCTGCGCTTCAATCTGCTGCACCCTCCAGACAGCTACATGGATCAGCGGGAGGGTGTGAACAGTCAATGATAATCTTAATTATATTCAGTAAAATGTCTTCTTTAAATTTACTTTCTCTTTTTTTGTCTGCATTTTGCACTATTTGTAAATGGCACAATTAAAGTCACAATGAAAAGCATTTTTATTCCTTGTTTTGAAATTTCCATGGGGTCTTGAAAGGCCTAAGGGACATATTTACTAAGTTGTCGCAAATTATTTGCAGTGAGTGACAAAATGTTCCACATCTAGTTTTAGTTGACCTGATACCTGATACTAGTATCAAATGAGCATATTTGTCACCAAGTCTGGTAAGCAATGAAGTGCAAAACATGTCTTGAGAGAAGACTGTTGTAGTAATAATAATAATAATAAATCTTATTTGAAAGTGCCTTTCAAGACACCAGAGGACACTTAACAATAGAATAAAACTCTAGCCCCCACCCCCAAAGGGGGTCGGTTGCCCTCGGGCTGGGGCTCGGTCGGGCTGGGGCTCGGTCACTCTGGCACAGCTGGCTGCCGGCGGAGCTCACGAGCACGTCACTGCAACCCCCCCGGCTTCTGCTCCGCGGCTGCTGAGTGACCCCTCATCTGGGACTCTCCTCAGCTCTTTCTGGGACAGTGTGGCTGCCCCTCTGTTGGTCTTCCTTGGTCTCTTGTGCTCTGAGGGCCTCTGGAGCCTGGATCTCCTCCATACCTGCTTCATGCCCTGGAGGACGGGGCTGTGGCCCCCCCACACCCTCTAGCAGATCATTACGCGTTCATGCTCACAGGTCCTCACACACACAAACGACACCCTTTTTGGCTCCTACCTCAAAGCACACTGTGCGTTGTTGATCCTACGTGCTGCACAATAATATTCAATATTTAGTATTTACTGTTATATTCACATAGATATCGTGATGATGTTCTTTATTATATTGCTCTCTTTTTCTCTTTTTTTTTTTTTTGCTTGTTTTCTCTTTTTTTCTTTCTCAACAGGTGATCCAGGTGATTGATATATGCATTTTTTGTCTGTTTGTTTTGTTGGTTTTTGTTTTTTGCCCTTTATCACCGTCCCTCTTCCCCGATGTTTTTATTTCCCTCCCTCTCTTTCATTCTCCCTTTTCTTTTCCCCAGTCATGTCTGTCCCGTGTGTAGCAAGTGAAAATAAAATAAACAATAAAAGCAAAGGTGAATCAAATAGACCAATACAGCAAGGCCGGGATAGTCCATTTGGTAAAGTAAATCTGTTGGGCATCTTTCTTTGCCTTTAGACAATAATTCTGATGGCAAAAGAACCAAGCGGGAATAAAAAAAAAGAATAAAACACATAATATAACAATGACGACAAAGGAAAAATAAGAAAACAGAAGCACAAAATAAAACTATAAATCCAAGTCAAAAAATGTACCGGTCAGTAGCGGCAGCCAGACGCACCAGCATTCAAGCCAGAAGTATTCACCGGCTTGAGTGAATGTGGGATTTACATGGAAAAACCTATAAAACACAACATTTACGATACTAAAACTATAGATCAAAACAAATCGCCAATACAACTTTGATACATAAGATATTTGAGCTGACTTTTATAGTCTTGTGTCAGGCAGAAGATGCCTGCCTGGGACAGCTCATAGGGGAGCAGTAATATAACACATGTCTACACATGTATAAATGTATAGTGTATGTGTCTTTTAGATCCTGTAGAAGTCCATCATTAAGTGTGTGAAGAGGGCTCTCCATTTACATCAACAAATTGGGGTCTATTAAATAAGATTCAAACTATTGCAGCAGTACCTTTAATGCCTTTTGAAAGCTCTAATCGCTGTCAAAAGCCATAAGATTCTTTGTAACTGTTACCAATGCTGTTTTTGTACTGTGATGAAATCTGAATCTTGAGTAAAATTCTTTAACCCTTTAAAACCGATTGGAGTGGGCACGCTCTGTTTTGCATAACTATTTTTAAATCCTGGTAGCACTGCAACCACATGAGCTAGCGCAAAAATTTTTTTTGCATATGAAACCGGAGGAGTTGTACTTACATCTTATGCCATCAGCTTGTCCTCGGTCACAGTTTCCTTCCACATATAGCTTTGCAAAAACTGCATAAAAAGCACTTGCAGCAACACAAACATAATATTCCAGAAACACGCTTTGCCGATCCGATCAGCTGTTTGTAACACTTCCTACGTCCATCAGCGCAAACTTTCGCATGTCCGCCATGACCTGCCCAAAACCGGAAGTGACATCATTTTCGTGGAAATGTAGTTTTTTACCACCAGGGCCTCAATGAGCCTATACTGGTGTTTTTAAAAGTTATGTTTGACTTTATGACTTTCTGTGTCGTTTCTGGGATGTTTAGGACTCATATTGCACTGCTGGAAATAGTTTATTTTGATGCATATGCTGTTTTTTTGCAAATTTGCATTATAATATTTATTTTGTGGTGGGAAACTATTTTGTGCAACTTTTTTGTATTTACAGTTTTGAGGGATAAGCCTCTTAAATTTCTCTAGCTAGAAATATATGTTAAAAAAACAAAAACGATTTTCAATTTTTTTGTAGTTTATTGCATTTTTTTTTTGCAATTTATGTAATTACTATGCACTTAATGCATACATATTATTAAAGTCTGGGCTATAATGGTTGTATTGATTTATAGCAACTTGAAATGCTCCCAAAAATGGCTCCACAGCATGTAAAAATATGATATAAGCTCTGGCGGACTTGGTTCTATGGTAGGTCTTAAAGGGTTAAATAAACATTCCTCTGCAGATGATCACTTAGCTGTTTTGTAACTAGCCTTTTTTAGAATTGTTGAGATAAAATGAATGTCTGCATGCAGCCTGAGTCCACCAAAGCCTGGCAGCTTACCCGAACACTGTATGTCCCTCTTGGGACCCCAATGACATGGAACACCTGACCAACCTCCATCAATGGACACTCCCGCCGCAGATGTTCTGTCACCAGCATCTCTAACACTTCTGCCTTAGCATTGGTGTGGCCCTCCGTGGGTCAGCGCTGGCAGGACCTGGTGAGTCAGATCTGGGAGAAAGGGGTTAGTGTCCCATAGCCAGGGCAGGGCCATGGGGACCTGGAAATAGCCTCGTCCCACTAGCTGCCGGCTGCAACCCTCCGCCTCCTCTGGCTGCGTGGCCGTCAGCATGACCTGACAGCCGCGCCTCTCTTTCCAACGGCACAGGTAGCCAGGTAGCCTGGCATGCCGTGCAGTGGGAGAGTCAGCCCGACCAGCCTCTCCAGCACTTGTTTTGGTGTCAACCTGGTCCTGCAGCTTATCCAGCTGAGCTCTCTGCATCCCATTAAAAGAACATTGAAAGGACTGTGGGGATGCGTCTACCAATACCGTGCTGGTCAAGGACACTCCTACAGGATACATGCCGTACTGTGGTCGCAGCTTCAAGCTAGCCAGCCTGCATCATTGCATGTAAAGTGAAGTGTAGTCTGTGCTGGCCCACCCAGTCCAAACCACTTTAATAGGCTTACAGCAGCTAATCCAGCACAGTGTGCTGACACATTGGGAGTCTGCTGACCTTACTCTGCTTTATTACAGGGTACTTGTTCCCTCAGTCCTTCACTGCTCAAAACAGGAAATCAGCTACAGTTTCTCTACATCTTCATTCAGGGGAAATATTGGAACGATTTTCATCAGGTTTGCATAAAAAAATTATTCCATTTGAATGATGACAATGACGTCTAAGTTGATCTCATTTTTGCTCTAACACGTTAAAACTATCAGCTTTTTAAAAAAGAAAATCTTTCTGTTAATGGGGGGGGAGGGGGGGGGGAGGGTAATTGCTGACTGATAATCGACTTTAACTTACAGGCTTTGACTGCATTGGAAAGCTAGTTTTCAGGAAAATCTGCAATGCATTTGTCATCTAATGCAGTCCACAATTAATTAAGTCAGCTTCCTTTTTACTTCATTGATGGTATTAAGATTTTTTCTAGATTTTTTTCCACCATTTACTCAGATCCCTGCCTCCTGTTAAAAGAAACTCCTTCTTTGTCCTTTGACTGAATCTATCAGGTAGATTCTCCAAGGACAGCATCACTTGGTTGCTGTCTGTAAGGTAAGGAGGAGTGGTTGTTGGTGGTGGTAATAGTAGATCCACCCTCTACGCTCAGCTATCTTCCTCACTTGGAAACCTGAGGTCACTCCTCCTCTATCGCTCTCCAACCAGAGAGGCATGCTGAGCATGACCTTCCAGGCAGCATCCTCCAACCTTAATCCTGTGCAACCCTCCCACACATGCACAGAATCCCAACTGTTTTTCACTGCCCTAAAACAATAATAAAGTCCTACAGTAAAAAAGCGTCTCTGATTCCATTACCTTCCTGTATTGCATTTATGTCGTTTTATTGTAGTTTATTTTCAATGTGTATCTTGTTTTTCTTTGTCTCGTTTTTGATTCTGAGAAAGCTATGTCACTGAAAACATTTCAGATGACTAAAGCCTTAGTTAATTTTCTTGTGGGAAGTGAAGACTGGAATCCTTATGTTACTAGTTGACAAAGTGATAAAGAAGGCATTAAGGTATTAAGGTATTAAGGCGTTAGAAATTTAAAATGTTTCTAATTACATTTCTGACGTTCAACTTAATAGAAGAATAATGAAGGATTACTGTAATACATATTTTTTTCTTTATCATCTGGAAAGGAATTAAAACTCGTAATTGTATTAATTTGATTTGTCTATATTATTTATTTATATTGTTCACTAACCATATTTATGTTCTCAGATGTTTTAACACCTCCAGCACTTGAATGCTCTCAAGCGAACATGTCAAATTCATAGGAAATATTTTCATAGTAATGGCTATATTCATAAAGTGATATTCCTGTATTCATGGCCTACAATATTTCAATTTGAAATATATATATATATATATATATATAAATGGAAAAATCAGTGTCAAAGTAATTAATATTTCTCATTTGAAGTACTTGATATTGTGTTTCATTTCCAGCATCTTTTATAAAGTTTATAGTCTTTTATAAAGTTTATAGTGTCTGTCCTGGGAGGAACACATATCT